ATTTGACAAAAACGATGTATATTTTATTTTCAAATAAAAAATTATTGTATAAATCATTAATTTTAATGTTGGCAAATGAATTTAAGATCCGTGTATATGTAACTGGGTTGGTGCATCGTTATGCTAGAATCGTTGCAAAAAGGGGTATCCTTATGTTAAGAAAATCCAGAGCTACCGGCCAAAAAAATATGGGTCGTAGTATCTCAAAAATTCTCTATATCTAGCATTAACAATCGTATTTTATGAGTAAAATTTCATTCTGAAAACTTTTATTTAAGGTCGGAAGTTAGTTATCATAGTAAATTTTTGTGTTATTTACGTTTTTTTTACAATTTCTTATGGTTTTCGCGTTTGTTTTGTTACATAAGATCCTGTGATTTTATTGGATCCGGATAGGGTTGGAAGTGATCTTCAGCCCGGGATTTTCTTGACATAAGGATACTCTGCAAAAAGTATCTAAAAATATATATATATATTACAGTCAGGGAATATACCAAATTTGGGGGATGGCTAAAGCGGAGCAGAATCACGTGCGAATTTTTATTGGCCGGATGAAACGATATCTGAAAAAAAAGGTTTACCACCAAAGAACGACGCAAAGACTCCAAAAATCCTTCAAGCACCTAAATAAGAAAGTTAGTAGAAACTAGTGAAAAAAAAAGAGCAAAAAAAAACAAAAGCAAGAACGCCTAAAAAAAAAAATTGCTAACCTCAGGAAAACGGCGAAAAAAATCCTCTAAAATTCCATCACTGAGAACCTCCAAGTATTTAAAATAAGCAAGAAAAAGTTAGAGCTAAAAGACAAAAAGTAATAAAATTAATGTATATCTAATTTAAAAAAAAAAAAAAAACTAACCACAAGGAAAATGACGAACAACTCCAAATTTCCACCAAAAAACGACGCAAAGACCCAAAGATCCACTTAAACACCTAAATAAGCAAGAAGTTGGTAAGTATTAGTGCAAAAAAATAAGAACCGGAAAAAAGTGACAGAAAACAACGCAAAA